AGCGACAAAAGGCCATCCCCGCTGTCACGTTCACCTGCTGGCCGATGAGAAGGGGCCCACACCGAGCCCTCGGCCATATAAATTAATCTTTAGTAAACAAATTAAAGCAGCTAATAATTCCAATTAAAAATTGTGATATATATATTATTAATAATAATAAAATGGTGCGTGGATCCCACGCGTAACCCTATAAATAGAAGTAAAAGCTCCCCCAGCTATCCCTCGACGAAGCTAAATTTCAGAGAGAGGGAGAGCGAAGCGATTGTCGGTTGGAGAGTAGGAGATCTTGTGGGCGGCGCAGAATCCTCACTCGTTCCCCCTTTCTTCTTTCCCTTTTTTTCTTCCCATTTTTTTTCCTTTTTTTGGGGTATTTATTTTGATTTTGAACTCATAATCCCCTCTCAATCTCTCTCTTTGGAATTCTAGATCGCAGTAAAAGATCAAACGGTGATTTCTTTTAAGGTAATCTTGAGATGAAATGTAAGATGATTAGTTTAATGGCGTGTCCTAATGATTTTTAGGGTTTAGGATATGGATCTCGATATGTTCTTTTTTGAAGTATATATTTTCCAATAAAATAGTCAATTAATGGTTAAAAATTTGTCTTGATCTTCTGTTTTGACTTAGGAATTGGATTTTGATTGCGTTTTAGTGGTTGTTGGATTGAGTGATGATTTGGATCTGTCTTATTCGATTCCGATCACGGATCTTAAAGAATCTGATGTTTTCCTTTCTTTTGCAGAGAATACTCGCCCAGATCGGACGAGCTTGAGCGGTTTGTTTTGGCGACAAGCGCTTTCTCATTCTTATCTCGTTTCAGTCTTAATCGGTTCGATCCGTTCTTTACTTTGACCTAAGCGATGGCTGCGGTCTCAGGCCAAACCTTTAAGCTTCGAAGCGATTCTGTGGCTCTGCCGTCGTCTTTGCATCGGAATCAGTCGGCGGGTTATCGGAGATGGAGGACGGCGAGGTGCGCTGTTCCGAGACGATCGCATGCGGTTCATTTGGAGGGCAGATTTCTCGGGGAGAGTCTACGGGCGTCGGAGAGGGTCCATTTGTGGAAGACCGATGGCCCCGGCCGATCTCCCAAGTTGAGGTTCGTTGGCCCCATCATGTCCTTGTCTCAGGTGCCGGAGAAGCCGCTCGGCCTCTACGATCCTTCTTTTGATAAGGATTCTTGTGGAGTTGGCTTTGTTGCTGAACTCTCCGGCGAGTATAATCGGAAAACTGTAAGTTTTTGGGTTTTGTGTGACGGGGAAATTTTTCTAAACGTTTATTTGATGTTGTAGGACTTCTTATTTCTGATTGAGAAGATAATTAGAAGGTTGAATTTTGCTCATGTTTACTGCTAAAATTGCTTTTTCTTTTTCGGTCTATAAGCTGTTAGCAAGTTAAAAATTTCTATTTGGACTCTGCCTATGTATATGCAGCCATAGTCTCAAGTGCTAAGTTTGTTAATTTTCCACTTATGACTTAAAATTGCATTTTTTAACATCCTTTCAGTAGGACGAACTTTTGTGTTTGTATGATACCCTTAACTTTGAACAATCGACATTTTTGTGGTTGTTATATCTTCTGTGATCTATCTGGTGGAAGAAGCAAATGAAATGATTGAAATTTTTAATTTTCTTTTTCATGTATGCCTTCTTATTGTGTTTGATAAAATATGTAACTAAAGAAGATTGATTTAATGGTGCTCTACCTGATATTAAATGTTATATTAAATGTTTTATGGTGGATAGTTTCCTATTCAAACTTAAAAGGCTGCTTGTTGAATTTTACAGGTGAGCGATGCAATTGAGATGTTAGTTCGGATGACCCATCGGGGTGCATGCGGTTGCGAGGTCAATACTGGTGATGGAGCTGGTATCCTTGTTGCTCTTCCGCACGACTTCTACAAAGAGGTAGCTTTCTGATGTCCTACTGGTTGGCTCTTTAACAAATTTTTGTATTGTTGTTTTGGTGGTCAATCTTTGTTGTCTATGTTTTGTAGGTGGTAAAAGATTTGGGCTTTGAATTGCCACCTCCTGGGCAGTATGCAGTTGGCATGTTCTTCTTGCCAACTGATCTAAGTCGACGGGAACAAAGCAAAGTTGTGTTTACGAAGGTAATCTATCCTCTAGATTATTAAATTTTAAGGTGTAAAAACTTTGGTTGGTTCTTTTTTGTTCATGTGCTGTGTACTTTCATATTTGAATCCTTTCTGCTTTGAAATTTCTTTTCTTTTGTTTTATGTTACTTGTGTTGTATTCTCTCATGGAGAAGACGGAAAATTATAGCTTGCTTATTTCAGTTGACATTTTTTATGTGAAAATGGTATATTTAGTTTAATGTCTCGCTTAGTTGATGCTACTGATTAGATTCTATTTCACTATAGGCACTATTTATAAGGGATGACATTATTCAGGTCTCATCACCTACCACACTTGGAATACTATTCAAAAAGTTGTTAATGTATCATTTGTAGAAATTGTTAATCTAGCATTTATATCATAAGAGGTCCACAATCTTGTTTCTACGTTGAAATAGAAAATGCTGAGTAGATTGCTATTGGCCAAACTGTATACTATCTGATTTGGTGTTATATCACTTTTTTTCATAAGCTCACCTACCACATATGACTAATTTATATAGATTCAGGAGGTTTGTGAGAAAAAGTCAACTATGAAGCACGGACACGCATAACATGAAGCCGTGTCGCGGACACACGTGTCGAACACACGTATCCTATGTATTTTTTAGGATTTGCCTCGTGTCGGCGTGTCGGATGGCTGTGTCGGATCCGTGTCCGTGCTACATAGACAGTCAAACAAGGTAGCCTTTCATTGCCTGATCCTCATGAGGAAGGGCAAGACGAAAGCTTATATCTCATTTGGTTGTTTAGATTCGTCCACTATATTATTTAGGACCTCATTTTGAATATTTGGCTCGACTGTTTTAACTGTTTAGTTGTGGATATCAATTACTTTGGTTATGTAATTTGTTAGACTTGACTGTTTTTAACTGTTTACTTGTGGATATCAATTAATTCCATTATGTGATTGGAAGGAACAAATTGCAGCAAATTAGCTTTTAAGTCGTGCCATAGTTTCATATAGACTGATTTACTGCTGTATCAGAAACCTTTTACGCCTTACATATCATTGATCTGACACTGCAATTTGCGAGGACTAAGTTGCAGAAATTTAGCTTTGTGGTTTATTTATGTATGAGTTACAACATTTCAAAGTGAAGATAATATCTTGGTGTTTCAAAATGTATATATAAGAGTATTAAAGGAGTGACAACGTTATGAATCATATAGTTTATGTTTGAGCTGTGTCCCTGAACCATTCTGTATTTACATTTTGTTATTGCTGGAACCCACTTAAATAAAACAAAATCAATGGCAGAAGAATGCAGTTCCTGTTCTAGCAAAATTTTAAACTTTTCATCTAGGTAAGTTTCTTATTTATTAGAACACTCTTCTTCCACAGTTCAGAAACATAAACCAATTTGTGCTACACTTTTGTGCATCCAACAGAATAGTTAATCGCATACCGTTATTGATCTGCTACACATGTTAATAGCACTATGTGACATGCTAAACTTGTTGATTTCAGCAATTTATTTCTCGTTGTTCTAAAGATCAGTGTTTTCACTTCTTTATCATTACTATGTAAACTGGACATTTCCTAAGAAAGTGTTGGTATTGCAGGTTGCTGAATCCTTGGGGCATGATGTTCTTGGGTGGCGCCCAGTACCAACAGATAATACTGATTTGGGCAAGTCAGCTATTCAAACAGAACCAGTTATTGAACAAGTATTCCTTACGCCAACTCCGAGATCTAGTGCTGATTTTGAGCAGCAGGTCCTTAACCCAACTGTTTTATGTCTCAAATTTCTTTCTTGTAAGAGTATTTGATCATTTTGGATATTTTCTGATCTTCACCGGTAATAATCTTCATAATGACTTTATTGATTTCCGCAGATGTACATACTAAGAAGGGTGTCTATGGTTGCTATTCGAGCTGCTTTAAACTTGCAGCATGGTGCAGTGAAAGACTTCTACATATGCTCGCTGTCTTCAAGGTATTGTGTTTCTTTTCCTTTGACTATTTGAGTAGCTGACAGAAAATTGTAGTCAATTTCAGTTTGTAAATTACATCTGTTTTAGGCATTTCTACGACTGCAACTAAAATTTATAGTCAGGTTATTCTTTGTTATATATTTTTATTCTGCTGATATTCTAAAATATTGGTCAGTTGGATTGTGCTCAGAACTCTTTTGCAGTTGAATCACTCATTTCCTGTGTTTGCAGGACTGTTGTTTACAAAGGACAACTGAAGCCAGTTCAGTTGAAGAATTACTATTATGCTGATCTTGGTGATGAAAGGTTCACAAGTTATATGGCACTGGTAAATACTCTTACATTCTTCTTAATGCACAGTCTGCATTTAACAGCAAGCTGCTTGGAGAAGTCTCTCGTAGCAGAACAAAAGTAAGGTTAAGTAATGAGGTTAAAGGCATCCAAGTTTGTATTCCTTCTGTTCTGTTGTATTGAATATTATTTGAATTTGGGTATGGATGCCTTGGGTAAGTCGGTGAAAGGTCCCAATAGTTGATGAATAATAAACGTGTTGCAGAATCCCGTTGCACTGCTCACTGTGGTCTGTACTTGAGGAAGCTTCCAATACGGAGGTGGAAAGGGAATAATATATAGTAAGGTAGCTTAGGGCTTCCACATTACTTTGTATTGGCACTGATGATAGGCAGAATCCCTAGTTCATTTTAAGTGCCTTGATGCAAAATGATCTCGGATATTCAGATGAATTTTTAATTGGCATGAAAGCTAAAGATATAAGAAATTATTGGACAGATTATTGAGTTGCTTTGCTCTTATGTAGGTACACTCTAGGTTCTCAACAAATACCTTTCCTAGCTGGGATCGTGCTCAGCCCATGCGCATCTTGGGTCACAATGGAGAGATTAACACACTTCGAGGCAATGTTAACTGGTAAAGTTTTTAGGCACCGAAAACATATTCGCAGAGATAACTGCCTGATAAATAATTGAATCTCATTTCTTTTCTCAGGATGAAGGCGCGTGAGGGTCTTCTAAAGTGCAAAGAGCTGGGATTGTCAAAGGATGAGATGAAGAAACTTTTACCCATTGTTGATGCTAGCTCTTCTGATTCTGGTGGGTTCACTTAAATATTTTTGTGAAAGAAGTCCTACAGGTTACATTTAAATACAGGCTGTAATCCATATGTTTTTTTTTCCTTTCATGGTATGAGAACTTGTTGTCCTTTTAGGTTACATGTAAGCCACAGTATGTGTATCATTAGTGTCAGCTTGCCGTAATTAATACTTTTAATGTGAATTCTTCTACCTGCTGAGCATACTTGAAGCGGACTGAAGCCAGCATGTTCCAACTTGTACTTTAAAAGTACTTTACTGAAAATTCTAATCCAGTTTTAACAGTTATATCTACAGAAACACATGAATTGGAAATTAAGATTACTGACTTTAGCATCTCATATTTCAGGGGCCTTTGATGGCGTCCTTGAGCTTTTGGTTCGAGCTGGTAGAAGCCTTCCGGAAGCTGTAATGATGATGATTCCGGAGGCATGGCAGAATGATAAGAACATGGATCCAGAAAGGAAAGCGCTATATGAATATTTCTCAGCTCTGATGGAACCATGGGATGGACCTGCACTTATATCATGTAAGCCTATTAACATTCATTTCATACTGATTCTAAATGAATAAACAAGTTGATCTTAATTTAAATGTATCACTGTTTGCCTGTTCAGTTACTGATGGCCGCTATCTTGGAGCAACATTGGATCGTAATGGATTGAGGCCTGGTCGTTATTACATTACACACAGTGGGCGGGTTATCATGGCAAGTGAAGTGGGTGTTGTAGATGTTGCTCCGGATGACGTGTCCCGGAAAGGAAGACTGAACCCTGGAATGATGTTACTGGTTGACTTTGAGAACCATAAGGTTGTTGATGATGAGGCTTTGAAAAAGCAGTATTCACTAGCAAGACCATATGGAGAGTGGCTCAAAAGGCAGAAGATATCTCTCAAAGATGTCGTTGAATCTGTTCCCGAAGCTGATAGGGTTCCTCCAACCATATTTGGAACAGTTGCTGTAAGTTTTACATCTTGCAAATTAGCCTCTTAATTTGTTTAACACTGATTTCATAGAATAAAGAGTATATCTGCATTAATTAACATTAACCATCCTATTTTTGCATGACTTAGGCTCATAATCATGATGATGACATGGAAAACGTGGGGATTCATGGAATTTTGGCTCCTTTGAAGGCATTCGGGTAAGTGATGTTATATTGATTGAGCCATCATTATATCCTAGATACCTTCTTATACATGTTTTATCCCTAAAATGTGTCATGCAGTTACACAGTGGAAGCATTGGAAATGATGCTGCTTCCTATGGCAAAAGATGCCACTGAAGCCCTTGGGTCGATGGGAAATGATGCTCCTTTGGCTGTAATGTCCAACAGGGAGAAACTTACGTTTGAATATTTCAAACAAATGTTTGCACAAGTCACAAATCCCCCCATTGATCCAATACGAGAGAAAATTGTCACATCTATGGAATGTATGATAGGGCCAGAAGGGGATCTGACTGAAACCACTGAGGAGCAATGCCATCGCCTCACATTAAAAGGACCTCTTCTATCTGTTGAAGAAATGGAAGCTATTAAAAAAATGGATTATAGATATTGGCGCAGCAAAGTGGTTGACATCACTTACTCCAAAAAGCGTGGCAGGAAGGGATTAGAGGAGGCTCTTGATAGGATCTGCTCTGAAGCTCGTGATGCTATTCGCGAGGGCTATACAACATTGGTACTTTCTGATAGAGGTGAGAACTGTCTACAGCTTGGAGATTCTACCGTGAACATTCTTTTACCTTTTGACTTGATCAGATTTTTGAATGTAAACAAGACAGAAATAATTCAATTTACTTTTATTTTTAGATATAATTCTATGAATTCTATAAATTATCTGCCTTCTCTATATTCTTTTGCTATAGGCTTGACTAATTTTCCAGCCTTAAATCTTATTTGCAGGTTTTTCCTCTGAGCTTGTTGCTGTGAGCTCGCTCTTGGCAGTTGGTGCTGTTCATCAGCATCTAGTGTCCAAACTTGAGAGAACAAGGATTGGGTTGGTTATAGAGTCTGCAGAGCCTCGGGAAGTGCATCATTTCTGTACTCTTATTGGATTTGGGGCAGATGCTATTTGTCCATATCTGGCTCTGGAAACCATCTGGCGGTTACAGATTGATGGGAAGATCCCTCCTAAAAGAGATGGTAGTTTTCATACGCGAGATGAACTTGTCAAAAAATACTTCAAAGCAAGCAACTATGGCATGATGAAGGTTCTTGCCAAAATGGGTATATCTACTCTAGCCTCTTACAAAGGTGCACAGATTTTTGAAGCTTTGGGCCTTTCTTCTGAGGTTATCCAGAAATGTTTTAGTGGCACGCCAAGCAGAGTTGATGGAGCCAATTTTGAAATGCTTGCTCGGGATGCACTTCGTCTTCATGAGTTGGCATTCCCTAAAAGGGCTTTACCACCTGGAAGTGCTGAAGCTACAGCACTGCCTAATCCTGGTGATTATCATTGGAGGAAGGGAGGTGAGATACATCTCAATGATCCTCTTGCTATTGCAAAACTCCAAGAAGCAGCTAGGCAGAACAGTGTGGCTGCATATAAAGAATATTCCAGACGTATTCAAGAGCTGAACAAGAGCTGCAATTTGAGGGGGATGTTAAAGTTTAGAGATGTTGCAGAGAAGATTTCTTTAGATGAAGTAGAGCCTGCCGGTGAGATTGTGAAGCGATTCGTTACTGGTGCCATGAGTTATGGATCAATATCATTAGAAGCACACACTACTCTTGCTATGGCAATGAACAAACTTGGGGGGAAATCTAATACTGGTACAGCTTCGTCCAATATCTTATTATTATCTGGTCTTTAATTAATTTTGGTATATTCTTTTCCCACTGCTGGTAAAATTGATCAAATGCTGAGCCGGCCTCTCATGTTAGATTCTTTTTTGAAGTTCTCTTCGCACAAACTCGGCCTTCATGTCTATTTGCACAAATAAAGTGAATTTTGTTAACATTAGTAACTTAGAATTGTCTACATTTTATGTTTACTATTGTATATATTTGAATGATGAGTGAATTATGAGATTATATGTGTACTTATATTATACCTCTATAACTCTATTGTCAAGGTGAGGGAGGAGAGCAACCTTCGCGTATGGATCCTCTCCCTGATGGTTCAATGAATCCAAAGAGGAGTGCAATTAAACAAGTTGCAAGTGGAAGATTTGGAGTTTCAAGCTACTACCTTACCAATGCGGATGAACTTCAAATAAAGATGGCACAGGTAATACATGAATCTATTACGTGTAGTCCGTAACCATCTCATCTTGCATTTATTTGTCGGAATGTCCTTCCTTGCTATACACCTGGGGTCTTCCTACTGGAACAGTAGTCATTCTTGTTTATGAATTTATGTTCATGGACAGATGCTGAAGACTGTACAAAGCACCTATGTGTGTCTTTGTTTCTAGTACTGATGCATTGCTTGACATTTGGTGAGATTGTATGAACTAGAATTTATTTCGCTCTTCCACGGCTTTTTGTTTGATTTTCTGTTGAATTTTTACAACAGGGAGCTAAGCCTGGAGAAGGAGGTGAACTGCCGGGTCATAAGGTTATTGGTGATATTGCAGTCACTAGAAATTCTACTGCAGGTGTAGGGCTCATCAGTCCTCCCCCTCATCACGACATATATTCAATTGAGGACCTTGCTCAGTTAATTTACGATCTTAAGGTATATACTTCTATCCGTAAGTAGAAAAATATTAAGCTAGGGTATGTTTTTAGAAGAGTTCATGTCCTTATTGATTTATAATTTTGTTGTATTATTTGGTTGCTCATTCTTGGAAGTCTTTTCTTGGAAATGATGGTTGTGAGATGTTGGTATTTGCTAGAGTTGTTGGCTTTCATGATCATGCTTAATGATCTTTCTTTTTCACATCCTCTCTACAGAACTCAAACCCAGGTGCACGAATCAGTGTTAAGCTTGTATCTGAGGCTGGTGTTGGAGTAGTTGCCAGTGGGGTTGTAAAAGGACATGCTGATCATGTCTTGATCTCTGGTCATGATGGAGGTACTGGAGCTTCTCGCTGGACTGGTATTAAAAACGCAGGCCTTCCCTGGGAGCTTGGGTTGGCAGAGACACATCAAACATTAGTCGCAAATGATCTACGTGGTCGTGCTACTGTTCAAACCGATGGTCAGTTAAAAACTGGACGAGATGTTGCTATTGCTGCTTTACTTGGTGCAGAAGAGTTTGGTTTTAGCACTGCCCCTCTTATCACTCTCGGTTGCATTATGATGCGAAAATGCCACAAAAACACTTGTCCAGTTGGAATTGCTACTCAGGACCCTGTGCTTCGGGAGAAATTTGCTGGAGAACCGGAGCATGTCATAAACTTTTTCTTCATGCTGGCTGAGGAAGTTCGTGAGATCATGGCTCAGTTGGGATTCCGCACTATTAATGAGATGGTTGGTCGTTCAGATATGTTGGAAGTTGATCCAGAAGTAGTTAAGAGTAATGAGAAATTGGAGAACATTGATCTCAGTTTACTACTTAGACCTGCAGCTGAGATCCGGCCAGAAGCAGCGCAGTATTGCGTCCAAAAACAAGATCATGGTCTTGACATGGCATTAGACCAGGAGTTGATACATTCATCCAAAGCAGCTCTAGAAAAGGGCCTTCCTGTTTATGTTGAGACGCCTGTTAGAAATGTGAATCGTGCTGTAGGTACTATGCTCAGTCATGAAGTTACCAAGCGCTATCATATGAATGGGCTTCCTTCTGATACCATTCATATAAAACTAACTGGAAGTGCTGGACAGAGTCTTGGAGCTTTTCTATGCCCTGGAATTACTCTTGAACTTGAAGGAGACAGCAATGACTATGTTGGTAAAGGGTTATCTGGTGGCAAGGTTGTAGTTTATCCTCCAAGAGAAAGTCAATTTGATCCTAAGGAAAACATTGTCATTGGTAATGTTGCTTTATATGGTGCAACAAATGGAGAGGCTTATTTCAATGGTATGGCAGCAGAGAGGTTTTGCGTGCGAAACTCAGGTGCTAAAGCAGTTGTAGAAGGTGTCGGCGATCACGGATGTGAGTACATGACTGGTGGTACTGTTGTTATACTTGGAAAAACTGGGCGCAATTTTGCTGCTGGAATGAGCGGTGGAGTTGCTTACGTCTTTGATGTTGATGGGAAATTCCATTCTCGATGCAATGGAGAACTGGTCGATCTTGATAAAGTAGAGGAGGATGAGGATGTTACTACATTGAAAATGTTGATACAACAGCACCAACGTCATACTAGCAGTGTTTTAGCAAAAGAGATCCTCTCCGATTTTGACAATTTGGTTTCAAAGTTTGTGAAGGTATTTCCACGAGATTATAAGAGAATTCTCAAGAACATGAAGGTTGAGAAAGCTGCGAAAGAGGCAAAGAAGCTAGAAGAGGCAGAGTTGATGAAAAAGGATGCGTTTGAAGAGCTTAAGAAGTTATCAGCTTCAAATGAGAAAGCCAGTCTGGTAATTTCTTACTTTCTGTTTCTGATCTCTGTCCAAGTGTTCGTCTGGTTTCTCTTGAGATAATTTTTTTTAAAATGTCTATATCTGTTTCCTACCATATTATTCTCTTATACAAAGTTAGCCTGATATAGATTAAATACTTCTTTTTTAAACTTCAAAGAACTTTCTATGTTTTCACTCTGATATGGTGTGTCCATGCATTTTTCAGTTTTATAAAATTTAAAATTCATTTCATTAAATGAACTAAATGGCTTATTTTCATTTGAAATCAGGTGCCATAATTTTCATTATTTTTTTTCATTTCGTTGCATTTTAAATCTAGGCTCCAATTTGCTATCTAACATAAAACCTGTATTAACAGAATGTGGAACATTCAACTGTAGCACAGAGGCCAACCGAAGTTCCTAATGCTGTAAAGCATCGTGGATTTATTGCTTACGAAAGACAGAGCGTTTTGTATAGGGACCCTAATGCTCGAATTAATGATTGGAAAGAAGTTGCTGTGGAGTCGAAGCCTGGACCTCTTTTGAAAACCCAGTCCGCGCGCTGCATGGACTGTGGAACCCCATTTTGCCATCAGGTACAAAATAACTGCATGTCAAAATCCTGCGATAATGTGGCATAGTATATCCAACATTTTAGACTTCTTTTAGGAGCTTTTGTTGAAGTTTAACATGCCATTGCATATATCATTCCTATACGTCGGCAACAAAGAATCCATGTGACTTGTCTACAGAGTTGTTTACTCAGTCCATTATTTACTTTTGCATTTATACAGGATAATTCTGGATGCCCTCTTGGAAATAAGATACCAGAATTCAACGAACTGGTCCATCAAAATAGGTGGCGTGAAGCTTTGGATAGGCTTCTTGAGACTAACAACTTCCCAGAGTTCACTGGCCGTGTCTGCCCTGCTCCTTGTGAAGGTTCATGTGTTCTTGGCATCATAGAGAATCCCGTGTCAATCAAAAGCATCGAATGCTCTATTATTGACAAAGCCTTTGAAGAAGGATGGATGGTACCTCGACCACCCACCCATAGGACAGGGTATGTTGTTTTTTATTTTACTCTTCTATATGATATCCTGATATTGCTCGTCTGGATCTAGTTTTTCTATTGATATATCCTTCTTGTAAATATTCAAGAACTTTGTTGTTAACAGAAAACCCTTTTTGTTTGCTTAAGTGATTTACAACACTGTACTAATATGTTATTAGTTTCCATTGGAAGCATTTAACAGTAATTTTGGGGTTTTATTCATGCAGGAAAAAAGTCGCCATAGTTGGTAGTGGTCCAGCTGGTCTAGCTGCTGCTGATCAACTAAATAAGATGGGGCATTTTGTCACAGTTTATGAGCGTGCTGACCGCATTGGAGGCTTAATGATGTACGGAGTTCCAAACATGAAGGCTGACAAGACTGATATTGTTCAGCGACGTGTTGACCTCATGGCTAAGGAAGGTGTCAAATTTGTGGTGAATGCTCATGTAGGCAAAGATTCTGACTACTCTCTTGACCTTCTTCGCTCAGAGAACAATGCAGTTGTTTTGGCTTGCGGTGCTACAAAACCAAGGTAATCAAATAGAAATCAAATTGAGTACACGCTTTTTTGAGTAAAACAAAATGTATATATCTTATTAATACGAAAAACCATTTTCTTGTGCAGAGATCTGCCTGTTCCTGGGCGTGAATTTTCTGGTGTCCACTTTGCTATGGAGTTTCTCCATGCAAACACCAAGAGCTTGCTCGACAGCAATCTAGAGGATGGTAAATATATATCTGCCAAGGGAAAAAAGGTGGTTGTTATTGGTGGAGGAGATACAGGAACAGATTGCATAGGAACATCCATCCGACACGGATGTACCAATGTTGTTAACCTCGAGCTCCTTCCTGAGCCACCTCGAACAAGAGCTCCGGGCAACCCATGGCCTCAGGTACAACCCTTGCATATATGTTTCCGATACACAACATACTCCCTTCATATTTTATATAGCGTAATGTAAAAACTAGAATACATCTCATAGTTCTTTGATACTATATTATACAATCATGTGGGTACTTGTATCTCGTAGTATCAAAATTGCATATGAGTTGCATTACTGTCAGCTTTACCTTTTCTAGATACAATATATGCACTGTTTATCGTTGATGGTTGTGTATATGCATTTCTTATTTTTGATGGTTTGTGTAATCAGTGGCCTCGGATATTCCGAGTGGACTATGGACACCAAGAAGCTGCGGCCAAGTTTGGAAAGGATCCAAGATCATATGAAGTCCTGACCAAGCGTTTCATTGGAGACGAAAATGGAGCAGTGAAAGGCCTTGAAGTTGTACGCTTAAAGTGGGCAAAGGACAGCAGTGGAAGGTTCCAGTTTGAGGAAATCAAGGGATCTGAAGAAATTATAGAAGCTGATATTGTTCTTCTGGCCATGGGATTCCTTGGTCCTGAATCGGTGAGTTCTCTTATGCTAGCTGCGCTATAGTCTGAGCATTAATTGGGGCTGTTTGGTTTGTTGCAATGGGATATTTTGGGCTTGTCGTAGCTGTTTGTTTTACTCAACTATGAAATTCAGTTGTAATTAAAAAAAGCCGTTCAGTTGAAGCTGACGGATTATGTAGATTTGGGCTTATATAGATTTGTACGGAAGTCGTAGTTGAAACATTTAAAGCGGCAAAAAAGGTTTAAATAACCCCATTAAAAAACAAACCTGAAACTCAAAAATTCTACAAGAACGAGGCCTTTATTTCAAAATTTTGGGAAATATGCAAAAATTCTTGACACCAAGTAATTGCAAGTTGCAAATTTGATATTGGAGCAAGCAGTTGCAATTACGATTGTACGTGACAGTTGCAAAAAATGCATTTGCATCTGATACTTGCATTGTAATTACAGTGCAGTGAGTCAAACAACCCCCTTAATACAACATATATGTACTCACATTCTGATAACTTAGGTAATGATGTGTTAAATTTGATTTTGCAGACAATTCCGGATCAATTGGGTTTGGAGAAAGACCAGCGATCTAACTTCAAAGCAGAGTATGGGAGATTCTCAACCAACATAGACGGAGTATTTGCTGCAGGAGACTGCCGGCGTGGTCAGTCTCTGGTCGTATGGGCCATTTCAGAAGGCCGACAAGCAGCAGCTCAGGTCGACAAGTTCTTAATAAAAGACGAAGACAATGCTGACAACCAAGGTGATGATGTTCTCAGTAATCTCGATAACAAGCATAGAGTAGCTGCATAGAAGGAAATAATTCCCGAGAAACCATATATATAGCATTATATACAGTAGAAAATGGACGTATATGATGGCTTGAAGCTAACTTGAAGGGTTGGTTGGTGATATGGCAAGTGGGGAGAGTAGTTTTTGTTGATGTTGAGTTTTGGAATTTTTTTTTTTGTTTATTTCTCAAGGATCAGCCGTCTCCTTTCTTCAATGTTGCGAGGTCTCCCTTGTGCATTTTTTGGTTGTAGTCTAAAGTTTCGCCGTAGTTGTGGTCAAGTGTGTTAAATAATGTACAGTTTTTCTTTTTTTGGGAAATAAAATGATTACTTTGTGGTTGAATGCATGCAGTTCGCGTTTTTGCAGGTGTTATGTTTGGCACGAGTCACTATAAGCAATTATGTGAAATATTTGATATTTATGCATCCCTCGAGCAATGTTTGCTTATTTTGATGCTGTTTTTTCTGAACGTATTTGTTACGTATATTGGTTGGGGAAAACCACATAAAATCAAAGTTGATTGTTTTTGAATCTCAGTGCGACTCGCAAATAATGCGAGACTTACGTGAGGAATAAATAACAGTAGTCCCGAGACCGTGTCTTGCGTGGACCTATGACCATGACCGGGTCTGTATAGACCTAGACAACATTAATACATGGGTCCCACAGAAAATAAGATCAAAGTGACATTATCCTTATTTAATTGGCGCTGTCACTTAACTTCATTATTTATATGATTTCTTTGCTTTAATTGATGACTATCACAATTTCATTCACATTGGAAGAAAAAATGAGTACAGCCTTTTAGCCTTGATTGTTCGTAGTATTTTTTGCGTAGTGGTCATTCTCTATATACAAAATATTAATAAATTTCTTCATATACTTTATATTGCTCAAACCTTTTCTTTAGTGAACCAATGACTTGATCTACAATATACAAAAAATAATTGATTCTAAAAGATTCTTAAGCTGATTGTGTTATCTCCTCATTAACATTCTCATCAAATTGTCTTTTTCTACGGATTTGACGTTTTAATTGAAATACAGAATCAATTTCTATTTCAGTACCAATTTCTTTAGCAATTGTCATAGCTTGTGTGGGCCCAACTTCTCTATAATCCTCAAAAAACCTAATGAAGTAGAGAGAACTTGAAGAACTCACCTTGAAATGATCTTTCACCCATATCAGGCGTTTTCGCTTTATCAAATTCACTGAAAAAAAAACAAAGAAAAAAAATGATGCCCATGTCAGGTTCTACATTAGAAGATTATAAAGATGGGATATCACATCAAATCTTTCTGAAATGTTTTTGTGAAAACTCAGCAAAATGCTCAATTTTACATGTACTTATAATTTATAAATGTGACAGCATCAAGAAATTCTGCTGGAACCAGGGACAAAGTTCTGTCATTTCTTTGTAAACAGTGAACTTCCGTGATGCAAATGAATTCATTTGTTCCTGATTTGTTCTTCTTGACGACCTTCCTCTCTATGATTCCTGCTTTCATCTAATCCTCATTAAGCTATGTATGACAACTATAGAACTGTTGCAATAAATGTTTTTGTTTTGATTAAGCAAGCTTATTTTGGTCATGTGCCGTCTGCTCTCATTTTTTTGTAGAGCTTGCCATCATTGAACCCTCTATATTTATTTATAAGAATAAGATGAAAACTATTTGTTTCTACTGCTACTTATGGAAACAACAATCTATTAATAAAAAAATTCCCACATTTTCCTTTTGAAGTTAACCCACAAAAAGCTTCAAAAGAGGCCCAGATTGGATTCTATTAAAAATTATTCCCAAATTCCTCGAGCAAATTAAGCATTAAGTGAAACTCTACAAGAATCGCAATGGAAACAACAATCTATTAATGAAAACTAAGAAAAAGATTACCTTGGATCGGATCAAGATTCAAGATCTTGAGAGGAGGGGGGATGTGATTTTTATTTCTCGCTTTGGAATTCTTTGGTCGGAGAATGACGAGGGCGGAGGGGCGGGTATAAATAGCGAACCGCCTGAGGCCCTGAGCTGAGGGGAGCTTGGCGGGGAGTTGGTCGGAGCCTCGGAGGGCGGTGAGGTAGGGTTGTGACTTGTGCGGTGCGGGCTCGGGCGGAGGTCGAGACAGCGACTCGAGGCGGTGCGGTCGCGGGCGTTGAGCGGAGGAGGCTTGGGGCTGAGCAAGAGGGGACAGGGGAGTTGGGACTTGGGAGGAGTGTTGGGGAAGAGGAGGAGGGAGGGATCTGGGAATTGAAGGAGTCTAGGAGATGGGGACTTGGGAGGAGTGTTGGGGAAGAGGAGGAGGGAGGGATCTGGGAATTGAAGGAGTCTAGGAGATGAGTTTTCTTTTGATGAGGACTGATGAGCGGGATTTAAGGGAATCAATGGGGAAGCACGAGAGAGTGATTCGTGGGATTTGAGGAGTGACGACTTAAAAAAAATTTGGGGCCCCCAATCTCAGGGGGCCTTGTGCGATCGCACACTCTGCATAGCCCCAGAACCGCGTCTNTTTGTTCTTTTTCCTGTTCCATCTTTTTTTCTTTCAAGGTAGAGGGAAGAAAGATACTAAGCATTCATGTACCAGTCAAATTAGGTTTCCCTTGGACTTGCGAGCCGAGCTAAACCACACATGATACAATTAAAATTTTTCAATATACATTGTGTCTTTCTCATGTATACTTTAAAACAGTTGATGATTTGAATGCAAGATGTTCTGACATGATTTGCATTTGGATGCAGTATGATCGCTAGTAGGGTTACACCTGCTAACTCCACATTAAATCTCATATAAAATTGAAATGCCGAAACCACAGCAGATGGAAGCTGAAGATGGAAGAAACCATCCTGCTATTTTATTGTCGGACCGGAGGCAGTAAACCTATCGCAACCGACTGGTGCCTGGACAAGCATCACGTTCGATCATTCAGTTCTTTGATTTCTTTAAGGGCATGTTTGGTTCGTTTCCTTTATTTTCCAAAACTCATTTTCCTTCACTTTCATCATTTTCCATCCTTACAAATCTCCCACATCAACCAATAAGTGACAACTCATCTCATCTCATCTCATTTCTTACTTTTAAAAATAAACTAAACACAAGAAATATGTCACATCAATCAATTCATCCAACTCACCTCACCCCATTTTGCTTCATTTTCTATCATCTTTAAAAATTACTCACATCATCCAATAATATGGTGACAACTCATTCCATCTCATTAAAATTTTCCTTCCATCACTTTCCTCCAGAAAAACAAGGAAATTGATTTTCCTAAGTATGTGTCACATCATTCAATAATATATTGACAACTCATCTTCTCTCATCTATTTTCTTAGTTTTAAGAATGAACCAAACACAAGGAAAGAACCTAAACAAGGAAAATGGAGGAAAACATCAAAAATTACTCATCTCATCCAATAATGTGGTGACAACTCATTTTCTCCCGCACTTTCTTTTATAGCTTTGACAAACCAAACATCTGAAAGTGGAGGAAAATATCAAAATTTACCTATATCAATTTTCTTTCCCCCATTTTCCACCACTTTCTGTATTTTTTTACGAAACAAATAGGCCCTAAAAAGAAAGGGCGGGCCACTTGTCAAGCTCACTCGAGCCCAGAATCCAGATTGTATTATTTTAGGAGGAGACACCATTTTGTCAGGTATTGAATAAGAATAATGATAATAATAATAAATACTTTTTTAAGAAGCAATTAGTGTTTTTAGTTAGGCAAACACATACCACGATTTTTTAAGATGTATTATTTTACTTTTAGCATCATTCTTATAATTTACCTCAGAATAAAAATTTGAAGAGCTTTAATTCACCGCGGGCGATTTTAGCTGTTGAGAGGTTTCAATATAACTCCTATATCTTAGATTCGATTCCAAACAAATTATAAAAGATTAAAAAAATATAAAAACCTGAAGGTGTTTCCAAATTCTCCCTTTTTTAAAGGAATGTTCTAATTTGTCTCGAAATCTTGAAATTGATGATCCTGCAAATGATCCATGCTGTCATTTAATTTAATAAACAAAACTTATAGTATGGGTAACATTATTCTTCAGAATTCTTACGTATGAGAAATGTCTCTAGTCCTTTATGAAAAAAAAATCATATAAAGAGCTCTCTGAACAAAGTCATATAGAGATAAAGAAGAATAGTTTGTTGGATTTTGTTCATGAAAAGTCAATTTTGCGTTTGTGAATAGTCCCACATTAAAAAATTAAAGGAAGTCCAAGAGGTTTATATTGCTTCACTTCATATTGGTTTTTGAGTAGTGTTTTTGGGATTTATATTGCTTGGGCTTTGTATAACACGCACGCCACGCCTCGCCGCACCGCACACGCACGTGGTTTTGCCTCTCAAGTTTTATTTTTTGCACATTTTACATAAGTTTGTAACGGTTGCGGGAGTTATGCCAACGTAATAACGGACGCAGGATCTTCGTGTAACATGCGCGGTTTATCAGCAACACCTAAGAGCTCTAGGGGCTATATAAGGAGCTGGAGTTCATTCGGAGAAGAACACAGCAACAAGAAGACTTCTCTCTTTTCCTCAAAAATTCGGAGAGCCTCTTTCATTCTCTCAAAATTGCTCTGCTACTATTTATTTATAATTTTCGGGCAACCATTTTCGTCTGAGCAGAAGTTCTGCTACTCTCGCCCGAGTACAGAGGCCGGTCATTTCCGGGGGTTTTTACCGCTAGGGGAAGAGGATCGACTGCGCTAGGGTGATAGGCGTGTCATCTATCTTCTATGATAGTGAATCACGACTGCACCCGTTCAGGCCTGATTTTTCTAACCTCAAGTTTCAGATTTATTCTTTTTGTTTCTTTTTTTACAGCAATCTAGAAGATAGAATTTTTAATTGTTGTTAACATAAAATCTAAAATTAATTATTTTAATTTGTTTTATTAAAATAATTTTAAAAAAAGTTACAGATACTGTTTATTACTGTTCATCTGAGAAAAAAAAATCTATTTCTGTTCATTTAAATAGTTACTATAAAATTCCTTTGTTATTAGTTTCTGTTTAAAAAAATTTACTGTTCACAAATTGTTTAGTTTACTGTTCATAAAAAATATAAAAAATTTTATTGCATTTATTATCTTTTGCTAGTTTACAATTCTAGTGCATGTCCAAAGTCATAATCCTTAAAGTTTCTAGTTGAGTGGTATTGACAAAACATTTATTCGTTCACATACCAAATACCTAGACTAGTAAACTCAAATTAGACTTATGGCTAACCCTGATCATTCCAAAAGTGTCAAATCTGAAAAGTTCATCAGTGTTAATTATAAATGGTGGGCTAATCAGATGTGATATTGGCTTACCATATTAGGTCTCTTATCTGTTATAGACATTCCCGAGTCTTCAACTAGCGGTTCTCAACCCTTGACTCCTGATCCTGAACAACCTGTTCCTTCCACTTCTGGTTCTGGCGCTAGCTCCTTTTCTAGTTCTATGAAACCAGAAGAAATCAACTATCATTATTGTCATAGGATTCTTAGTGCACTTGCGGACAACCTCTATGACATTTATTATGAGTTCAAAAGTGCTAAGGACCTATGGAATGCTCTTGAAGTAGAATACGACTATGATGATGCCGGAATACTGCGTTTCACCTCCTCTTCCTTCAATAAGTTCATAATTATTGATGACAAACCTATTAATGAAAAAATCCATGAATTCCAAGATTTTCTTCGTCACCTTCAATCTAAAGGAAACTCTTTCACTGATGACTTCAAAGTTTCCTGTTTGATTGATAAACTCTCTCCCTCCTGATCTAGATTTGCTAGAGATCTCCGACACAAGTAAGGAGATCTAATCTTAACTGAAGCCCCAAGGCTATTCGTATTGACGACCAACATAGGCAAAATTTCAAAACCAAGACCGAATCAAAAGCTAAAGTAAACTTGGTAGAGGATAAGCCTAAATCTAGGAATTTCAAACCCAAAGGGAAGAAATTTAAGAAAAAACAACAATCCTTCAACAAATCTTCTTCTAAATCCAATCCCAACTCTTCCAGTTATAAGTCTGATAGAAAGTTCTGATATGTCTGTGGTAAAACCAACCACATAGCTCCTAACTGTTTCTTTCGAAAGAAGGAACCGGCTAAACCTGCTCCTAAAGGAAATGGATCCAACAAAGTTAATATGATTGAAGAGAATCCAACTTCCTTCAGGTTAGCCTCTTCATCCTATCTTATGAATTCTCTTACTTCTTATGATTGAAGAGAATCCAACTTCCTTCAGGTTAGCCTCTTCATCCTATCTTATGAATTCTCTTACTTCTTCCACTGATTGGTACTTAGATTCCGGAGCTAATATCCATGTTTGCAATTATCGCTCTTGGTTTTCTACTTACCAGGAATCACGTGGAGGAAGCATAAGCTTAGCAGATGACTCCACCAAACAAATAATAGGAAGTGGATGCATAGAGCTCACCATGACCTCTGGGAAAGCTTTGAATCTGCAAGGTGTTCATCATGTTTCTTCTCTCCGTTACAACCTGATTGGTGAATCTCTTCTCCTTAGAGCTGGCTATAGGATTATAAAAGAATCCGATAAATTTGTGATTACAAAGGACAATGTATTCATAGGAAAATGTTTTACTTGTAATGGCCTTTTCAAACTCAATGTAATCAATTCCAGTTCTAATAAAATTTATGAGTCTGCTGTTACACAAATTGTTGAATCTTATGATATCTGGCATGGACGACTTGGACATGTCAATTTTTAAACTTTATAGAAAATGATCAAATTGAATCTTATTCCTAAATCCTCTTTTGACCTCTCATCCAAGTGTGAGATTAGTGTTCAAGGGAAGCACACTAAAAAACCCTTCAAGTCTATAACTAGAAACTCTAAACCCCTCGAATTAATTCATAGTGATGTGTCTGACTCGAACCGAGTTCTCACCCGAGGGGGTAGGAGATATTTTGTGACATTTATAGACGATCACTCTAGATATTATTACACCTATCTTCTCAGAACTAAAGATGAAGTTGTAGATAGGTTTAAGGTGTTTAAAGCTGAAGCTGAGAACCAACTTGACAGAAATATCAAAATTCTAAGATCTGATCGTGGGGGGAGGGGGGGGTATACCTTAAATGATATGACTGAATATTGCCAAGAACACGACATTATTCATGAGGTAACTGCTCCCTATACACCACAGTCCAACGGGGTAGCTGAACGAAAGAACAGAACCCTTATGGACATGGTAAACTGTATGTTGCTCAGTTCAGGAGCACCTGAAAATCTCTGGGGTGAAGTTCTTCTCTCTGCTTGTTTCATTCTCAATAGGATTCCCCAGAAACATTCTGATACAACTCCTTTTGAATATTAGAAGGGGAGATCTCCTAATCTGAACTTCTTCCGGGTTTGGAGTTGCTTGGCTAAGGTAGCTATTCCCGAACCTAAGAAGAGGAAAATTGGTTCCAAAACTGTTGATGCTGATTTCAGTAGATATGCACTAGATAGCAATGTTAATAGATTTCTAGTCATTAACTCTGAAATCAGTGACATATCCAACATCACTATCATTGAAGCTAGAGATGTAGCCTTTTTTGAAAATATATTTCCTTTCATATCCAAAATCTCAAAAAATCTTAGTTCATCTCTTCCTTCTGATTTACCATCTTCCAAGTCTTCTCAGCCTTTTGATATTGAACCTTGAAGAAGCAAAATAGGTAGAATTCAAAAGGATTTTGGAGAAGACTTCTTTACTTTTTTGGTTGAAGGTGATCCTAGCTCATTTGAAGAAGCAATGGATTCACCTGAATCTCCTTTCTGGAAAGAAGCCATTGATAATGAGATTAAATCTATCATAAAAAATCATACTTGGATACTTACCGACTTACCTCTAGGTTGTAAACATGTTGGTTGTAAATGGATATTCAAGAAGAAACTTAAAGCTGATAGTTTCATAGATAAATTTAAAGCTAGATTAGTAGCTAAAGGCTATACTCAACAAAAGGGCATTGATTATTTTGATACATATTCTTCTGTAGCCCGAATCTCAACTATCCGAGTATTATTAACTTTTGCTGTTATCCACAAGCTGATCATACATCAGATGAATGTCAAGACTATTTTTCTAAATGGTGATTTAGATGAAGAGATCTATATCCACCAACATGAAGGCTTCATTACCAAGGGTCAGGAAAACAAAGTCTGCAAACTTGTTAAATCTCTGTATGGTCTTAAACAAGCTTCTAAACAATAGCACCAAAAATTTAACAGAGTCATTGCTTATTATGGTTTCACAGTGAATGAACACGACAAATGTGTTTATTCAAAAGTGATAAACAATGACTATGTCATCCTCTGTCTCTATGTTGATGATATTCTTATCTTTGGAACAACTCTTGAACTAATTTTAAAAGTCAAGGATTATCTTTCCAAGAATTTTAACATGAAAGACTTAGGTCTTGCTGATATGATACTTGGAATGAAAATCTCTAGAGACACTAGAGAAATATCTTTGAGTCTTTCTCACGGTATTGAGAAAATGCTGATCAAATTCAACTATCATAACTCTAAACATGTTTCCACACCTTATGATTCTTCTATATCCTTGAAGAAGAATGAAGGTGAACCTGTACCCCAACTGAAATATTCTCAGATGATTGTATCTCTTCTATACATATCAAACTAAATCAGACCCGATATAGCTTATGTTATAGGAAGACTGAGTCAGTATACCAGTAACCCTAACCTAGATCATTGGTCTGCCCTAGAGTGAGTATTCAAATACTTGAAAGGGACAGTTAACTATTGCTTGACTTACACTGGATACCCTGATGCTATTGAAGGGTATAGTGACGCCAATTGGGTCACAGATTCCAACAGTGTAAAGTTCACATCTGGATATGTATTTTTTTGTGGTGCTGATATATCCTAAAAATCATGTAAGCAAACAGTAATTACCGGAAGTACCATGGAATCTGAGTTGATTGCTCTTGATACCACTTGCACAGAAACAGAATGGTTAAAAGATCTACTTTCTGAACTTCCTTTGGTCCCTAAACTCTTTCCTCCAATTTCCATTCATTCTGATTCTAGATCTACCATAGAGCTTCTAAAACAAGTGCATGTAAATAAAAAACTCAACAAACATATTCAAATAAGATATAAATTTGTACAACGCCTGATAGACAAAGTTATGATCTTAGACTTTATAAAGTCTAAGAAAAATCTTGCTGACCCTTTGACTAAGGGATTATCCAGGAGTGTGGTTCTGGATTCATCGAGGGAGATGGGGTTAAGCCCATAAGAGAGGCCACTAATAGTGGTAACCCAACCCTTATTTGGAGACTTAGTCCCAATGTTGGTTCAATGTGATAGAAACAAGCTGAACTAGTGATACTCGTGTGGAGCATCGACCCAGATATATTCATATATCACTATCTAGCTTGTGCTACTATCCCTTCTCTATGATGACAATGCTCTTATGATACAACTAGCTAGGCTGGGTTTTACTCTTAATAAGTCTAACGTGTGTATTATGAGGGGTATTAAATAAACAGTTGTAGTACCCTTTGAGGACTTACCTACGTGAGAGGAACCGTGATGGCCGCAGTTGGAGGGGCTAGGCTAACCCCTAGAAACTCTCATGAGTCGGCTATTGTGACCATAGCCTTTAACGCTCAACTTGTTTTGATCAATAGATGAAGATGTATTGTGTGTGTTTTTTACAATACCCTATTCAAGGGGCCAAATACAAGGCCTAGTTCATTATGTTCCTCAGGTGGCGATAAACTCACTAAAGAAATATTCAAAATCGAAAGCTACCTCTACCGAATTCACGATACAAAAGGTTGCACAACCTATATTTGTTTTGTGATTTATTGGTTTATTAATTTTGTATTTTCAGTCAATATTGCCTTTTGAGGGGGACTGTTGGATTTTGTTCATGAAAAGATAATTTTGCCTTTGTGAATAGTCCCATATTAGAAAATGAAAGGAAGTCCAAGAGGTTTTATATTGCTTCACTTCATATTGGGTTTTGAGTAGTGTTTTGGGGCTTTATATTGCTTGGGCTTTGTATAACACACACGCACGCACGCACGCCACGCCGCCGCACACACGCTCGCGCCACGCCGCACCGCACACGGTTTTGCCTCTCAAGTTTTATTTTTTGCATGTTTTACACAAGTTTGTAACGGTTGCAGGAGTTATGGAAACGTAATAACGGACGTGGGATCTCTATGTAATGTGCGCAGTTTATCAGCAACGACTAAGAGTTCTAGGGGCTATATAAGGAGCTAAAGTTCATTCGGAGAAGGACACAACAACAAGAAGAATTCCCTCAAAAATTCGGAGAGCCTCTTTCATTCTCTCAAAATTGCTCTGCTACTATTTATTTATAATTTTCAGGCAACCATTTTTGTCTGAGCAGAAGCTCTGCTACTCTCGCCCGAGTACAGAGGCCGGTCATTTACGGGGGCTTTTACCGCTAGGGGGAGAGGATCGACTGCGTCAGGGCGATAGGTGGGTCATCTATCTTCTAGGACAGTGAATCACGACTGCACCCGTTCAGGCCTGATTTTTCTAACCTCAAATTTCATATTTATTCTTTTTGTTCCTTTTTTGACAGCATAGTTAATATCTCAATATGCTAAATTACCATATTGATATTTTTTGTGCATTCTTTTTATCAGTTTGATATTTTTTAGCATTGGCAACATTTTGATATTTTTTGAGTCAAATGTCAATTATAGACCCATAACTTCGCCGCCGGTGGAAAAAAAGCATGTGAAACTTCCTTCCTTCCACAATTTTTGGCCTCCCAAACTTTCTCTTCATTATATTTGGAGGTGATACTAATGCCTCTCATTTTACATCCTAAAATTTACTTTACTATAGTGGACTCAGCATTCTTCCGGAAACTTAGACATAGTTACTATCCTTATATCAATGTGCCAAATAATATTTTGGCATTTTCCTCATGAATATAAGACAGCACTACTGGTATCAAATGGGGTTTCACGGTTTTTTTATCAGCGGCGAAATTTTGGATCTAATGATGACAAATTTGACTAAGAAATAATATTAAAATTTCGCGGGAGCTAGAAAAAAATTAGGGAAAATTGCTTGGGGGAACCAAATAAAATTCGGCTATGCATCCCCACCCCCAGCCTAAGAATCATAACTGGAAAACCCTTATACAGAAAAAAAATGCAACAAAGCCCCCAAATAGTATACAGACCCATAACCCAAAAATAAATCCCCAAATTACCCTTGGCAATTTAAAACTGAAAAAGTCACATCCCCACCGTCATTTTCTGAGCAGCGCTGTTACCAAAACCCTCAAACCTCCGTCAAAGAGTTTGAATCTCTCCCCCTTCCGGAACCCTCTTCCTCCGCCGCCGACGACAACGCTTCAGCCGTCTCGTTCGTCGACTTCGTGTTCGTCTTCGTCGTCACAATCGAAGACCGCTGCATCCTCGACTTCTTCGACTTCGTGCTCGTCGCCTTTTTCTTTGGCGAACCCTTTAGATCGTCATCCTCGACTTCATCCTAGACTCTTCGACTTCGTCGTCTTCGTCGAAGACCGCCGCCACGACTCGTCTTCTTCGAAACCCGCTCGTCGCCAACTTCGAAACCCTGTTCTTCTGAAATCCGCCGCCGCTCGTCGTATTCCTCTTCGGCGACTCTCCTTTACTTCGTCGACTCTCGTCCGCCGACAAGGACCCCCCCACCGACGACCGCAAGCTCGTCGACCGCCAGAATCTCTCATCCTCACCGAACCCCACAGTGACGCTGCTAAAAATACAGATGTCGAATTCATCATCTGAATCAGCTACAATAAAGCCTGAGATGTAAGTATCTACCCAATTGTTCACATCTGTTCATTTAATTTGTTTGGCATTGTGAATTTATACGCATTAGAACCCTAAGTTAGTTTTGGCATTGTCAATTCATCATCTCAGACAGTTGATTTAGTATCTGTTGTGTTGTCTTTTACAGTAAACATGATATAAGAATTTGTTGCAATATCTGTGGATATTGTCAATTTATGGATGGCATTGTCCCACAAATGAGGTCTGAACATTGGAGGGCTTATGGATCCTCCAATTTCAAGAACTATGTTAGTTTTGGTATGATTCCATCCGACAAGGCCACCATCATGCTGCTGCTGGATAATGTGGATTTAGCCACGGGGAAGTTTTTCTTCAATGATAGCCAAACCGGGACTAAACAAGCGTACACGTTTGATCTAAATTGGGTGCGCAAACATACTCGGTTTAATGATGAAGGGGAGAAACCCGAAGGCAATCGCGACATGGATAATAGGATATGGACCACATACTTCAGCAACAAGCAACAATCACAATACAAGAGTGGCCGAGGCTACCTTGAGGCCCTATTGGAGAAATTGGTTCGGTCCAAAAAGAAATCCGATGTTTCGGATTTTGTTATGCTTCAAATCCTCTATCAATTGACAATGATATGGACCCCGACCGCGAGAATGAATGCACCGCGGCATATGTTCAAATATGTGGCTCGAGTAGATGCGGTTGATCATTTCCCATGGGCGACAATCATCTATAAGGAATTGTGGGACTCCTTCAAGGCTGTGAAGAAAGCGACGAAGGGGCTGACATATCTTAGCGGCTGCGCTCCCTTGCTATCGGTGAGTTAACTGTGATATTTGAGATTTATATGTTACATTTGCACCTTATCTGTGATCATGACCCTTTATATGTGATATTTGAGATTTATATGTGACATTTGTATCTAATTGGTATTGTTTAAGTCCGCTATTTATTTGTAGTTTGTATCTGATATTATCTTGTTACACGTGATTATTTCCATTTACATGTGATATATAACACTAATATATGACATGTGATATTTATAGTTAATATGTGTTTATGTGATAAGTGTCTTCTACATGTGATATTTTCTAGTTATATGTGACGTTTGTGACCCATGTGTGATATTTGCCCTGATATGTGATGTTTGTAGTTAATGTGTGATATTATCTGCTGGTATGTGATTATTGCCATTTACATGTGACATTTATATCTAATATGTGATACTTCATTGTTTGAATGTGGCTTTTTTGTAGCTATGGTATTATGAGATATCAAACATTAAGGAGCCGGCGAAAGTGGATGAATCGAAGCCACCAATGACCAATTGGACATTGGAGGGTAAGAAAGTGGGTTCACTGCGGACTACAACAATAACGAAGAAATCGGAGGCCGCAATCCACATCTTACCGGAGCATGACCTGCCGCGGTATGTACATGAGGAGATCAAGCATAAGTCTACAAAGAGGAGGGCTGAAATGGAGGAGGAAGCTACGGGTGAAAAAGCTTCGAGGAAGAAAAGAGTGGAAAAAGGGGTAAAGTTGATGACTTTATGTGCGATCTTTGTATTTGTGACATTTACTCACTATCAGTTTATTGTTAATGTAGGATGACGCTTATAAAAAGTTGGTGATGCTAAATGAAGCCTATGAGCAAGAACTTGTTGCTCGTGGCGTTGATACGATGGCCATTAAGGCCGAAATTGAGAAAAGATTTGAGGAAGAGAAACAAATCATGCCCAAAAAAGAAGAGGTTATAATTTATTTATTTCCTATTTCAAACGAGGAAAAAATATCACATATAAAAGTTTGCTGAACAAAATTGGTTACATTCTTAACATGTATGCAGCCTCAAATAGAGAGACAAGATGAGGCGGAGAAAGAAGAAGGGAAGGAAGAGAAAGCAGAGGGAGAAGGTGATCAAGGCCAAGAAGTGGGCATTGAACTTGAGCAGGTAACTCTCCTACGGTAGATTTGGTTGTCTGTGACATGTACACACTGTTTGTGATAGCTCCCTGTTATTTGTGACGTAAACAGTTTATCTGTGACTTTTGCTTATTATTTGTGATGCATGATTTCCTCATGTGATATATATTCATGTCAGTTTACTATTATATATATTCATTAACTGTGATCTTTATATAGTCTGAAGCGCGGAAAGTTGTTGAGGAAGTTCCTAAGAAGAAGAGGGGAAGGAAGAGGAGGGAGGAAGGTGAGTCTACTTTGGGAGAATTTGTTCAGGGGCTCCGTGCAAGGAGCCGAAGAACAACGAAGAAGCCCAAGTCCCTAGAATCTCCATATTGTACAGAAATGCCTAAGAAAAAGATGAAAGGGAAAAAAAGTGTCGTTTTGGTGAAAGATGATGATGACAAGGGGGAGACAATAGAGGAGAAGAAGCCACGTGAAATGGCACACCCACCTATGAGAACATCCGTGCCTCAGCTATGGAGAAGGGAAAAAACTGAAGATGAAAAAAAATTATTGTCAATGTTGAATATGGGCATTCCTTCTGCCCAAGACTTTGACATCAGGCTACCGGGAACAGTTGACGAAGGATTTTATCATAACTTCACTGTTCGTGATGTACCTGATGCGTCGGAAGATGAAAACAAGTGGCTTCAACATTTTCTAACGTTACAAGTTGACAAGTAAGTATTAAGTATTATTCTGTGATATATATAAGTGGTCTGTGATAGTTACATGACGTTTGTGACATAAGCACGTAAATTGTGATCATTACAGTTTTTATGTGACATTTAGTATTCTCCTGTGACAGTTTATTAATCGGTTGGATATGTCGCTTATACATTCTTGTATGTGATACATTTTTGTAGGAGGATTGTTTTGGAGGTTGAGGACCAAACTATAAACAGATACGATATTCTTCATCTTCTACGCGGTGGGCCATTGAAGGATGAGGTTAGTTTCTGTTTAAGTTTCGTTGTTAGTCAAGTTTTTGATATTTACATGATTTATTATGTTTGCAATTATTAGACGGTTGAAGCCCTTGTTGCAAGACTTCGGAACTGGCTCAAGCTCCCCGAAAATGCCGCTCGGGATCGCAAATTTGCTATTATCACATCCTATTTTAGTGTGAGTAATGTGGATCATTTTTTGCAGTTATATGTTATTTGACTTTCTCCCGCTTTATCTTTTTTCTTTTTCCGGTAGATTTGGTTGCTAACTGCTTCAAAGTTGGATGAGCGAAAGATCTATAAAAACTATATAAAGAAGCATATCGACGAAGGGAAGGATGTGTTGATAATCCCGATATGTCATGCTGATCATTGGCATGTCGTCGAGGTCAATCCGGGGCAAAAAAAAATGCAGGCATTACAGCTCCGCTGGCCACGAGGCATGGGCTAGGGACGTGTTGGCCATCCAACTATTTTTAGATAGGATGGTGAGCGGATTTGACCAGAGTTCGACATTTAGAGCATTTGATTATGAAGCGGTTCCCTGTCGTATGCAAAAAGGATCGTAAGTTTCTTACACTTAAACAGTTTATTAATGCATATGATACTTGAATGGGTGATATTTTCACATTCATATGTGACAATTTGGGGCTATATGTGACATTTCAGTATTCTGTGTGACTTTTGGGGCCCATATGTGACATTTTAGTATTCTATGTGACTTTTGGGGCTGTTATGTGACATTTTGGGGCTGTTATGTGACTTTTGGTTATTCTGTGTGACTTTTGGGGCCTATATGTGACATTTCAGTATTGTGTGACTTTTGGGGCTGTTATGTGATAGTTTTACATTCGTGTTATATGCTTATTATGTTATATTATATTTCTGGTATTAAGTGTTATGTGATATTTCTACAGGTATGATTGTGGCATACATGCGTATTTTTTCATTAAGACGATTCTCGAGGAAAGGGAGATAATGCAAGTTGAAGCCTTGCACAGGGAGTCACATATGCTACGAGCAGGACTTGCTGCTCAACTCATATGTGAAGGGCGTGAAGGGAAAAAACTGCGGTTGAAATTAGACAGTGATGATCCAGAATATTTTTTGTACTTTGGGGGTAGTGATGTACCTAAGATTGAGTGGAAGTATTAGACTCTACATTAACTGTGTCATTTGTTTAAACGTGGTGATGTACAGGCTAACCAGTTTACTAGCTGTGTGTGACATTTGTTGGATTGCTGTTGACGACTTTTGGGGCTGTTACGCGATGTTTTAGTATGCCGTGTGACTTTTGAGTCTTGTATGTGACGTTTTAGTGTTCTGTGTGACTTTTGAATATCACGTGTGTCATTTTAGTGTACTGTGTGACTTTTGCTTCTTGTATGTGACATTTTGGTAGGTATGATTGACTTTTGGTATGTTGTGGTATGTTACATTTGTACAGGTCTGTAAATATTCTCCTTATCAGTTACTAGCTGTTTATTAAATTCTTTGTGATCTGTTCTGGAAGATATTAAATCCGGACTGGTAATATGTCTCGCGGACAGGTGATACGCCACATTAGGATGAAATGGACATGTAACATACAATAGTCACATGTGACGTTTTAGTGTTCTGTGTGACATTTGAGTCTTGTATGTGACACTTTGTTATTTTGTGTGACATTTGGGGCCATCATGTGACTTTTTAGTATGTTCTGTGACTTTTGAAACTTGTGTGTGACTTTATAGTGTTCTGTGTGACTTTTGAGTCTTGTATGTGACACTTTTTTATTTTGTGTGACATTTGAGGCGGTTGTGTCGTTTTAGTATGCTTTGTGACTTATTAGACTTGTATGTGACATTTTGGTAGGTATGATTGACTTTTGGTATGTTGTGGTATGTTACAATAGTCACATGTGATATGCAAACAGGTAATACGTCACATTTTTTGTGGCAAAAGTAACACGAATAGGTAATTTGTCACATACAAAACACAAATGTCACAACAAAATGGCAAAAGTCACATGTAACAGACAATAGTCACAAAAGCGTTTGCATTCTGCCTGGAAACGTTAATCTTCGATAGGTTTAGTGCACGTGGCTCGGTTATGTCCTTCAGCGTGACATCTTGAGCATCTAATTGCACGTCTACTCTCAGATCTGTTGTTGATACGCCTATTCTTGTTCCTTCCACGTCTCTTTGTCGTCTTTGGGGGAAGAATGCTAATTGTTTCATCTGTGACATCTGGCTTATCGTAATTTGGAACAGGAAAGAGGATTGGTTCGTAACTTCTCCTGAAAGCTTCAGTCGTCATGAACCAATCGCAGAACTGGTACACATCTCTATGCATGAAGTTAATAGCGGCACACGCATGTTTACATGGTATTCGCAATATATCCCATGCACGACACGTGCATGTTTTGTGTCCCAAATCAACTTGTACTGATTTTTGTGATGATACCTCGAAGATTTCAGCTGTAGAATGCGATACTTCAAGAGTGCTTCCCTTGGTGACATTTTCTTGGAGGATTTTTTCCGCTTCAGGACAAAGATAGCTATTCCATTTTGTTGCCATCTCGCGACGAGTATTCATCCTTTCCATAATTTGCACACGAATGTGATCCATCATATCGCAAATGGGAAGTGTTCGCGCCACACGAATCCAACTGTTGAAAGATTCAGCGACATTGGAAGTGATATGCCCATATCTGATTGAAAACAAAAAATCATTACCACAATTTACCGCTATGTGTCACAAATAACTAACAAATGTCACAACTAACAACAAATGATCACAGATAACGGCTATTGGTCACATGTAATGGAGTATTGTCACACGATACAAGTAAAGGTCACACGTAACAGATGAACGACCATATAAAAGCGAAATGTGACATTTAAAGGCTCAATTTCATATAACAGCATAATATAACCAGTAAAGGTAATGATAATTGACGTACCTTATACCAGGAAATACAGAATTGGCCCAATTACTAGGACCATAACTTAGAGCTACTTGGTAAGCTCTTTGATCTGTCATTCGAATCTGACGCAAAACAGCATTAAATTCTCCTTCTGTGTACTTGTATGCAGCAAACTCCAATAATTTTGAAATACGTTGAGCAGCACTTGAGGCAAAACCCATCTCTCTAAGCTTCAATTTATAATTCTCAACAAGATGAAGTACACACCTAGAGTGGTACGCATCTGGAAATATATTTTTCAAAGATTGCTTTATTCCTTTGTCGGCGTCTGACAGAATTACAAGGGGATGGGGTGGATTGTATGGTTCTGTTCGATTGTACAATATATACCGCAATCCTTGAATAAACCAACTCCAATTCGCTTCATTTTCTTGGTCACAAACGGAAAATGCGAGTGGAAATATGCCTTGATTACCATCATAAGCGGTCGCACCTAATAAGATCCCTTTGTAACGATCCTTCAGAAAAGTCCCATCTAGAAAGAGCAACGGCCTACATCCCTTGAGAAACCCCTGTATGCATGCACCATACGACACAAATAAACGTTTGAATCTCCTTTCTTCTTGTTCAATGCTGAAGACACTGTCTGGATTTGTTTCCGTCACCTTCATCTGGTACCTAAAAAGATGGTTAAATCACAAATAACTTGTTAAATACTCAAACGTCACATATAAAGTCAAAATATCACATATAAGGTTTAAATATCACATGTAATACTCAAAAGTCACATAGAAAGTCCAAATATCACATACAAGATCTAACTATCACATGTAATGCTCAAACGTCACATATAAAGTCAAAATATCACATATAACGTTTAAATCTCACATGCAGATGTAGGAACAAGTTGTCACAAATAACTTTGAAATATAACGTTCACGCATCAATAAATAACGAGGACTAACCAGGATAGTAAATCATATGAATGCCTTGCGCAACCAAATATTTCATCTTTTGCTGTCTCTTTAGCACGCCAAGCTTTAGAATAATTAACTCTTAATCCATATTGAGAGTGCAATTCCTTTCTAATGTCAGTTGGGGTTATATATGGACGCCTCTTCATAATTGATTGTAGCATACTCGCAATCCACCTTCTTGATGCTCTGAAGTGACCAGCTGTGCTGTTATGTTGTCCACATGTATGTTGAGGAACAAATTTCTTTATAGCAAATGTCGACACATGGCTCAATGGTGAAGCGAAAAACAACCACGGGCAGTTTGTTTCTTCTCTAAACATGCAACTAGCACGAATACGTTTTGGCTCATTGTTAACATATTTGAAAGCGAACTTCTTAGCTATAGAGTAGTATATAAGAGCCATTCTAACTTCTTTTGCACTTTCAAATTGCTGCCCTTTTCCAGTAATTGCCTCGTGCCACCATGCTGGGATCCGTGACGAGTCACTTACTACGTCGTTCATACTGTACACATGCTCTCCTTGAGGGTTGTCATTTGGGATCCTCTCTGATTCCTCGATTGTGATACTCTCATAAGGTTGCTCAATATGCTCTGATGACTGTGAGCTTACATTAGGAACACTGCAGGTTTAATGTACAGGTCACATATAAGTCACATGTGATACTTACCAGTAAAGTCACATATAAGACTCAAATGTCACAAATAAAGACAATATATCACAAATAAGGTCCAAATGTCACGTGGTATGTCTTCAGGTCACATATATAATAGAATATATGACGTGTATCCAGAACATGAAAATATACTTTTGAATACTTACTTAAGCTCTGTTTCTGACCCTATGGCATGAGTGGGTCCTTCATCTCTTTCAGTAACAGTCATGGTCAACGTATTTAACCCCATTGAACGATGATAACCTATCATATTGAGAATATCTTCATCTTTTGAAAGCTCAAACGAGACATTGGGAAACTTATCGATAGAGTAACTTATCAACAAACTTTCGAACCGTACTCTAAAATTCTCTGCGGCTTTCATCTTCAATTCGGCTAAACTTGTTGCTGAATTGACTTTAATAAGGGTTGCGTTACTGTTAAATGAAATCACACACATTAAAGAATCTTCCATTTTGGTTGTTGAAGAAGTTAAGAGGAAAAAGTTCAGAATATAAATGATTGTTGAAGGTTGTTGAAGATTTTAGCAGTAGATCAAAAGAGAGAAGAGTATATATGAGGAATGCAATATTTTGGAGGGAACCGTGTACATTTTCCCCTCCATTTTTCCCCTTCCCTGCATAAAACCCCCCAGCTCTCTGATTTGACACCGCTACTTCATGATGGGTTGCTTGGCTGGCGAATAAGACAAAACCCAAGTTCTTCAATGCATAGCCGATTTCAGCGCTGTCCCCCAAACCGAAAATGAGAGTAGAAAGGGCAAAATGGGTAATGCTGGAAAAATACATTATAAAGTAGAGAAACACTGTTGGGTTTGGGGTGAGAAAGCATGAGTACTTGGGTCAAGGTGCCCCCAAGTGTTTGACTCTAGTTGAGGGGTGGGGATGCAT